AGCTCTCAAGGAGTGACTAATAGGAAATAGTAGATAGTCCAGTTCCTTATCTATAAGCAAAAGAACAATTCTGCAAATGTTCTACGGGGTTTCCTAGAGTTCCTCAGCTGCCCACAGCAGTCACCTGCTCCATAATACAGGCTTTATTGGCTCATTCCCTTTCCTTTCTCACCTCCTATTCCTAACCAGTGCTTTCTGGGATTAACTCTGAAATTAGCTTTCATTTAAATGCTTATCTCTAGTTTAGAATACAATCTAAGATAAATCGAATTTTATCATCCTCCCCTACAAATGAGGAGAGACTAAGGTTTAGAGATTATTTATCCTTACCCGTTAACGGGGAATAAACTGTTAAGTTTAACCGGTGTTTTCTGTCTCTACATGCATCTCATTTTCTGTGAAAACTTTTCAGTTCATTTTCTGGGCCTTCCTAGTATGGGTGGGAGCAGTGGAGATTGGCTCTCTGTTACTGCAGCTGTGTAATAGCTCCTTCCTCTATTCCACATGCGCAAAAGCAGAGAGGCCAACAGTAGTGTTGGTCTCAGCTTGGAACAAAATTACATTCCATATGGACTTTATGTTCCACTTGAATTCATATAGTTTGCCTACAAATGATATTAGTTTGGGGATTTTAAACTTAGGCTTTAAACAAAATAGAATTTTTCTGATTAGCATACTAAAACTATACTCACTTGTAATAATGACTGAGGGTAAAATACACAAACACTACAACTGTGAATTATATTTTAAGCAAAACATCTCACTCATTCAAAAGCACGTTGTGGGTCTAAAGGGATTATAAAGGTTTATGCCAGTCATTGTTCTGTCCCCAGTTTTGCTCCCTGGTACTGTTTATGGTGGCTGCAGTTCCTTCTTTCTGTCTGCACTAACAGAAGAGGTCTTTTGACTCTCTCTTCACATAATGTAATACGTACTACACGCTTATTATTATTCCTAGACATGATGCTTTGGTTTTGCTGCTTCCTTTTAAACTTTTAGTCTTCTACCTTTTTTGGGTGCTCCCTCTTTTATCTCACCTGATCTTTGGGGCTTTGTATGTTCTGTATACTCCGTGAAGTGGGCTATCTTGGCCTGCTGCTGCTTCTACTGAACATCCACTTGAACCCTGTGATTCCTCTCTCAAAACATCACCAACAGCCAAAATCAGGCTGTACTCATGGTTTTAATTATTTTAAAATTTTCAATTTTTTTTTGAGATGGAATCTCACTCTGCTGCCCATGGCTGGAGTGCAATGGCGCAAACTCTGCTCACTGCAACCTCCATCCCCTGGGTCAAGCAATTTTCCTGCCTCAGCCTCCCAAGTAGCTGGGATTACAGGCACCTGCCTCCATGCCTGGCTAATTTTTGTATTTTTAGTAAAGAAGGGGTTTCACCATTTTGGCCAGGCTGGTCTTGAATTCATGACCTAAGGCGGTCCACCCACCTCAGCCTCCCAAAGTGCTGGAATTTATAGGCGTGAGCCACCGTGTCTAGCCAATTTCTCAATTTTTCATGTTTAATTTTTTGTGTACCCAGTAGATGTATATATATTTATGGGGCACATGAGATATTTTGATACAGGCAGGTAATACATAAAAATCACATCATGGGAAGTGGGGTATCCATCCTCTCAGGCATTTATTTTTTTTATGTTAGTTTGAAGTTTTTTTTTTTTTCCTCTGTCTCTAATTTGTTTATTCCAGTATCTGGCTTGCACTCTAATCATATCACTCAGGAATTATGTTGATCATTGTACTATTAGCTGACATTAAACTGTTTATTTACCAATTTATTTATTTTTTCTTTCCTCCTGTATGTGAATCTAAGTTCCAGGAGAGCAGGAATGAGATATTTTGTTTCTTGTTTTCTATTGTATCCTGAGGTCTTAGCACATGTTCTGCCTCAAAGTAAATACTTGAATATTATTTGAATAAAAATTTCTCTTGCTTGGGGAAAAAATAAAATAAAATTTTTAATTTTAACATTTAAAATATTAACATTAAATTATTTACTATTAAAATATAATATTAAAATGTTTAATTTTAATATTAAAAATCCTGCCCTTAAAAAATATTGTTATTTGTATTTGAGCTTTAAAATACTGGCTTCCTAGGCTGAGGTGGCAGATTGCTTGAGCTTGAGACCAGCCTGGGCAACATGGCGAAATCCCGTCTCTACAAAAAATATAAAAGTTAGCAAGCATCGTGTTGCATACTTGTAGTCCCAACTACTTGGGAGGTTGAGGAGGGAGAACTGCTTGAACTTCAGAGGCAGAGGTTGCAGTGAGCCACGATTGCTCCACTGCAATCCAGCACAAAGCTGGAATGCTCTGCACAGAGTGAGACCCTATCTTAAAAACAACAACAACAAAAACCAAAGAGAATGGTGAGAAAACAACTGGCTTCCACAAAGTCAGTGACTGAGAGGACAAAGCAAGATCTGGTCAATTGCAGTTCACTGCAGATAATTGTTAACATTTACTTTTAATAATAAAGTAAATTTTATTTTACTTTATCCCTTGCACCTAAATGAAAACATAAATAAAACTAAAATATCTCATGATTTCTCTAATCACTATTAAGCTAAATAAGTATTTTAATCAATTTCAGTTGCAAGATATAGTTGCATTTCAGAATGAGAATGTCCACTTGCATGTGATCCCAAACTGTCCAACTATTCTAAGTTGCAATTACTTTCTCTCTTCTGTTTAGAGTCTATTTCTGTCTAGATACCTGCTGCAGAGAAGGGAGCAAGGTATGCTTCTTTCTCAATTATCTTGTTCCCCATCCCCTGTGGGTTTTAACCTCCTCTGAGTTTGAGGACAGTTTGGGGAGGAAAGTGGTGAGACCTCACCTGACCTATACCGTCGTATGCTTACTGCACATTGACCCTAATGGGGCATGTTCATAGGTTCTTTAGAGATAGTTCCTCTAACATTACTCACAAGTGGGCCACTCTCCTGTGGTTACCCTGATGGAGGTGACACACTCTTTCCTAGCTTGTTACTGACTCCTTTCAAACCTCCTGGTAAACTTCAGTGCCTTCTGCTGAGTCCAGCTCACTCTTCCAGGTTCCTCTAACAGGCAGAATCTAAGATAGCCCCATTGTCTCTCTCTTGAACCTAACTTGCATCTGATTGGTGGATAACTTTCAGCCTCATTTCACCTAAGGCTGGGAATGTAGGAGATAGTCTTGAGGCAACCACTCCTTTCTTCATTCATTAGCTGCTAGCCAGTCCATCCCTTGCTTTTCGTATTAATCGAGTGGGAGTCTGACATCAGCCTTTTTCACTAGACGAGGTACAGAGACCTCAGGTCTAAGTGTGAGATTCATAGCAAGGCCCTCTGGAAAAAGGCTTTTCCACCATTTCCCAAATATTCTTGCTCACTTTTAAAATAGCATAATGTGAGTGAGATGTTTTGAGTATTGTAACTAGTATTTGTACCATTAAATCTTTCAGGACTTTTAAATTAATAATCTGTTACACATACATAAAAAATGTTCCATTTCTTCTTTGTTTTGTATTTTCACAATAAAATTATATTAAAATATAATGGCTGCATAAGAATGTTTTCTTTCATGTGCTCTTTATGTTTATGTATGTTGAAAGCCAGCAATATGTGGAAAAGAAACTTCAGCTCAATGATTATTTACTTTGGGCTAAAATAATTGTTTACTAAAAATGTGTCTAGGGTGTTTAAATAAAGGAAGTGATCTTGACTTTGGTTATTAACAGAGTCCCAATCCTGTGTTTCTATAATAGACTATAACACTAGTTAATGTTTACTGAGTGTTTCTTAAGTCCCTGGCATCATGCTGTCTTATATAAATTATGGCTTGAGGAGAACCAATAAATAACATTTATTGAGTGATTTTGTATACCAAGCCCTATTCTTAGTACTTTAATTTTTAAATTATGTGTATTAACTAATTTAAACCCAGCAACAAATCCATGAAGTAGATGTTACTAGTATCATCCCAATTTTAGAGACAAAGGAAGGAAGGTACCAGTATTTAAGCAATGTATGTAAAATCACATAGCTATGAAAGGCCATCTTTCCTATATTTCACATCCCAATTTAGGACTCAAAAATGTCTTGCTGAAATATCTATTTATGTCAGTTCTACTCTCAAGATTACCAGCTTCTCAAAGGAACCCACCAAGCATTATTTAATCTTCTATTCCAAGTACTTATTTCACAGCAGATATTAATTTTTTTCTTTGAGTTGAATAATACTCTCAATCTTGGGATTTCTAATTCAAATATTTTCAAAAATATTTTTAATTACATAAAATTAAGAAAATAATCATTAGATATCCTTCCAAAATTTTGGTTGAATAAGTTGAAGGAAACAACAGGTATTCTACTTGTTTTATATTAAGAAATTACTTCTCTCTAAAAAATTGTCAGTGATGAATATTTTGTTAGATCATTACAGGTTTCATTTTAAGCAAAATAATGATGGCTTCATCTTCACAGTTCTTGCTCTGTCTTTATTTTTGAGCAAAATTGGGCTCTGTCTTTTCTGAGATGTGTACATTGTCTAGATCCCTGGGCTTCTTGGTATTCTTTATGGAACTGCAGTTCTTTAAGGAATAACTATCGAATACCACTATTTTTCCTGATAGTAATCATAACTACAACAGGAAATAAGAAATTTAATTTGTGCTCTCTCTGTTACTCTACTCCCAAATTAAAGGTGTTACATTTCTTTAAGAAATTTACATCTTATTAAAAGCCATTAGTCTACAAAGGTAGACTATCTTCCAAACCCTAAATTGGACTTACTAAATTATTTTATGTAAGTCCTCTAATTATGGTAGAATGCCTTAATTAATTCCTTGGCTTTGAGAATGTAAGAGGATTGAAAAGTAAAATATACTAAATCTACTTTGAACATTTTTTTTGAAAATTAAAAAATATTTTCACCTTGAGGGGGTGCATCATTCCTGGAAGTACTGCAATACTAGGTCGATGTATGGAGTGGATGGAGCAAACTCCTATTCCATCTCCCTGCTCCAAAAATCTATTTAATATATTGTCCTCGGATAGAGGCCGTATCAGATATTAAACTGATAAGAACAGATACTACACTTGATCTTAGCCAAAAGGCAGAGAAGCTACACTTTGAACATTAATTGGATTTGGGGTTCTATATACTAATCTTAGTTATAATTGCCACAAAAGCTATATTCAATTTTTAAGCTTATGTGTATAGGAATGTATACATTAAGCTTGGTAATAGGGGCTCAGATTAAAAAAGAACTTATAATGTCATAGAGCGTAGACTATTAGATTTGAAAGTAATCATAGGGAACATCAGTAAAATATCTCATGTTTCAAATAGGAAAATGAAAATCCATCACAGCATATCTTTATAAGGTGTCACAGCCACTAGCATCTGGATTTCAGACATCATTATTTTGCATGTAAATTAGAATAATCAGTGCTCAATAAATGTTCTTTCAGTCAACTAATCTATCAAGTTCTAGTACTCACTTTTAAAAACTAAATATGCAAATTACAGTGCAGACAAAAATACTTTTCTCCAAGAAGAAAGAACTACACATAAATGTTCTTGCAAAATGGGATCTTCTTTGGTTTAAATGGAAAACATGCCTAACAAAACTGATAATAGACCAAAGAAAATTGAGTTTTTCAGTGGTGTAATTCTAGGATTACATAGAAAAGAACAATTCATTATTTTAAGTTTAGCCAAATTGGGACCAGAATTGGCAATTTCCCCTGACCTATTATTTTGAGGGGAACATCAAGATTTCATTTTGCCTGAAATATTACTCATAAGCCTTTGTATTTCCTGAAGGTGATTTTGCCATCACTTTTACAGAATTAAGCCATTGCTAACAAGGAGTTAGCAAATCACGTCATTGACTAAAATTCTTATCACCACAACCAGGAGCAAAGGAGGGAATACGACCTGAGTTTGTTGATAAAGTCAGAGTATGGACTCATATTCAGGTCCTGTGTAGCACTAGGATGGGAGGCTATGAGTAGCAGATACACTGGCTTCTAGAAGAAAGTGCAGGAAGCCATCTTAAAGAGGAATAGAGAAATGCAAAATAAAAAAAGTTTGCTAAGATAAAATTGCTCTGTGTCAATTCAAAACAACATCAATAGGAGGTATGTGCTTGATGCAACCTAGGATATAAAAAGATTTAAATGAGATAATGTTTCATTGTACATTTTACTTTTCCTCAACAGTACTTGCGAAGGCTTAAAATGATATATTATAAATGTGATGATTTAACTCTTCCCACTTCTAAGTTTCATTCTCTGTCTCTGTCTCTGTCTGTCTTTCTCTCTCTCTCTCACACACACAAACACACACACACACACACACACACACACACACACACAGTCACACACCCTGCATACCCATACACACATGTGTGATCTATTATGGGTATTGAGGGCAAAAGATCTATTTCTTTACTACTTTATCATCAAGGTCTAACTTGGGTCTTGACAGACAAAAGTTGCCAAATCTATTCGTTAAATGAACCTATGTGAAGGAATAAAAACCAGATAATTCCATATTGTGTTTAAGAGAATTGTTTGAGGTGATCTAATATCATTTAAATTATTTAACTCTGACTAGAAAAATCAAGCAGCCATTATGGAAGGAATGGAGCAGGAGCCAAGCTATAACAAACTTTCTGTCCCCTGGTAAATGCCATAGACTTAAATGTCAACAGTTGCCAGGGGCTGAGGTAGTTAGTGATGTTTTGGGTAAGGTTAACTATGTTGAACCATAAGATATTTTAAGTAATTATTGCTTAAAATATTCCATGGGTTTTGTGAAAATAGGTTCTGTAAAATATAGAAGTGATTTTTAGTCATTTTTAATATTATCATGTGAGCAGTGAGCAAGGGCCCCTAGATCAGAATCCAGAACCACAGAGGTGTTGGCCTGAGCGCTGAGGGCTACACCATGCTTTCTTTCACGTGCTCTTCATTATATGTGTATATATGTTGAAAACCAGAAATATGTGGAAAAGAAACTTCTGCTCAATGATTATTTACTTTGGGCTAAAAATGAATACCGCAGCTGGATTCTTTTTCCATTTTTTTCCCCCTCATTTTGACCACTGCCTTGGAGAATAAAGACCTTGGATTGTTAAAGAGTGTCAAAGAAATTTAAATTTGACCTCTCTTTACTTTGGAAGGCCAGAGGACTTCCCTTAGTTCTCTTTCCTTCCTTCCTCCCCATGTATCCCCCCATTTTAGAAACTCTTTTGACCTATGATAGGATCATATTTTATTTCTGGAGAAGGGACATCCTTAGATTTCACTCCATCCATGACAAAACACATTCTCTCATGTCCTCTGTCACTGTATCAGTGGAAACATAATTCACTTTGCAACTCAAATTAGCATTCCACAAAAGCAAGTGCAGTAATGACTGGCACACTGAATAAACCTTAAGCAAATTTTGACTTGTAGGTTCCATGATCTAAACTTACCATCCTCATTACAGGAGTGATTTTTTTTTTTTCACCAAAACACATGTTTTACATCCATTGAAACATTATTTCTCCTTAGGAAGCTTAGAAAGCCAGCCTGCTTAAATCTGTATTAAATGGCCTCAGCTGACAAATGTTTTGCAACTTAAAAGTCTCCATATATTCTTAGTGTCTCTAAGACTAAATATCTTCTATTATTGACTTATAATAGAAGTCATACATTTAATATAAGAAATAATAATAATAATAATTGTAAATGGAGATTTTTATTTTAATGCAATCTTCTGTTTTTTTATAAAGTTTTTTTTTTTTTAAACAGGCTGTTCAAGGATAGGAAAAGAACTACAATCTGAAACAGAAGCTACATACTCTTGAATAAATATCTGAGCCACTGGTAGTTCTATTTTATTACAATCTAAAAAGAAGCCAAGTTATGTTTCAGGATTTCTGTCACTTTCAATGTCCTTTGAAAAAATAGACAGTGAGCTATTCCAGCCATCCTCTTAATGTGTTCCAGGGCTAGAAATTATTGTCTAGATATAAAACTATTTGCTAAGTTTAATTTAATTATGTTTCTGTCGTTGAAGATTTTGAATCCTCTGTATCAGTAAATGTTTCCCACCAACATGACTCCATTTGTTTTCATAAGCACTTATTGATACCAAATACTTTCCATCATAAAATGCTTAGGTTATAATTAAATTTCCCAATGGTTATTAAATAATGATAAAGTGACAGTTTTTGATATTAAAGTTTAAAACTTTTCTGAAGGGTATATACATATATATATATATATATATGATGAGCCATATGATTTTTATCTGGCAATAAACCACCTCTCGCTTAGTAGCCCTTAGCATGGGAGTACACATATGTAAATTGCAAAATAATTTAATATCAATCACAGATTTAGTTTGAGGACTTAGGTATGTATTTACAAAGAGCAATATAGTTCAGATCATGTATATATTAGTATGTTAGACACTCATGGCCAATTGTCATGATCAGAATAGAATTTGTTGATTATTTCAGTTGCCAAAAGATCCCGAGAAACAGAAATAGAAACTGTAAAAACATTTTTCCATGGTCTATTGTATGTCTTTATTTTAAATGCAATACTATGGATAATTGAGCTCCTAATATTTGACATTTATAAATTTTGTCTGGAAGGCTATGAAGAAAATAAATAAAATCAAAATTTTTGTAGCTTGCTAAAAGTAGTAAATTCTTTAAATTTAGTAAATTTAGTAGTAAATTCTTACTGCTAAAAGAAGTAAGGTAAATTTCTCTTCAACTATGATTCCCCTTACGTGAATTATTGTGATGAGAATGTTTTAGTTTGGGCTGTTAGAATAGTATAAATTGGGTGCCTTAAACATCAAAGATTCATTTATCACAATTCTGGAGGTTGGAAACATGAGGTCAAGGGTTCCAGCATGATTGGGCTCTTGTGCAAGGCCCTCTTTCTCTTTTGTAAATGGCTGTTCTCTCATTGTACCCTCACCTGTTGGTAGCAGGAAGAGATAGAGCAAGCTCTCTTGCATGTGTTCTTCTAAGGGCACTAATCCAATTCCTAAGGGTTTCACACTCATGACCTAATTACCTCCTAAAAGAGTCCATTTCCAGATACCATCACAAAGGGAAACAGGCTTCAACATATGAATTTTGAGATGACATAATCATTTCATAGCAGAGAGTTCTCTTATTTGCGCCTATTTAACACATGGGAGAAATCTGATGCTTATATTTGCATGTTGTGTAAATTTTGAATCACTATACATGGAGATCATTAAAACAAGAAAAAAAATAAGATCACAAAAAGGTAATATCTGAAATACTGATAGCATAAAAAAGTAGAAGTGTATACCACACCATTTTTCAAAGAGTGAAGGAAGATGACAAAAAGTAAACCTGGCTTAGGTTTGCAAATTTGTAACATTTGTAAGAGAGACGTATGTAGATGGAAATGGTGGAAGGTGCAAAGTAGGGAAGCAGGAACTTATGCAACTGAATCATAAAATCAGAAAGCCATTGAATTTATTGATAGACATTCAGCCATGGAATAAAATATGTGTTTTCTGTGTCAAAACTGTGAGATTATATATAGCTTGTTAAAATTGTAGGAGAGGGGAATTTTAAAATTTTATTTTGAATAAATGTGATAAATGAAATAAAATTAATTGGAATTTAATATTTTAATATAAGTTGAGTAAAATGAAATTTATCCTGACTCTTTTTTTAATTTTAATTATTATTTTTAGTTCTGGAGTACTTGTGCAAGGATGTGCAGGTTTGGAAACAAAGGTAAATGTGTACTATGGTTGTTTGCGGCACCTATCAACCCATCACCTAGGTATTAAACCCAGCATACATTAGCTATTTATCCTAATGCTCTCTCTCCCCCAGCCCTTCCTTCAACAGGCCCCACTGTATGTTATTTCCCTCCCTTTATCCAGGATAAATAAAATGTTGTACATATACACCTTGGAATACTATGTAGCCATAAAAAGGAATGAGATCATGTCATTTGCAGGGACACGGATGAAGCTGGAAGACATTTTCCTCAGCAAACAGACACAGGAACAGAAAAACAAACACTGCATGTTCTCACTTATTCTGGCTTTAATTTTGTATGC